CGTCTTGGTGTCCGTGGCACACGACCAGGCTTATTCAGACTCATTGATATATCTCTCGCGGGGAGGGTATGAATGATATGAGTCTGTTCTGTGTGTGCATGAGCGTTACGCTCGCCACGGCTCCACCAGGATGGTTCCTGGTCGCGCGCGCGAATAGAATAGACATTCATTTCACCAATTCAAAGCGATTTATTTGAAAGGAAAGCAACACAAAAAACAATCTGTCACGACGAGTCTATTCGATTGAAAAACGTTGAACACGATTATTCCACTGATCGACGACATACAGATTGCCATGTCGGTCGAAGGACAAACCCATGGGGTAGTTCAACTGATTTTCTTCTTCTCCTGAGCCATTTCCACCCACAATGACAGTGCCCTGTTTCGCTCCTTTAGGCCAACGCATCACTCGATGATTCAACGAGTCTGCCACATAGATGGTACCCAATGTATTGACAAACAGTCCTCGAGGATATGACAATTGTGTCAGAGCTTCCCCAAAGCTTTGACCTCCAGCGACAACAATTCCTTCTTTTGCACCTTTATTCCATTTCATTACACGATGATTATTGTTGTCTGACACGTAGACAGTCTGTTGTTGATCGACAAAGATGTAGGTCGGCTCGTTGAGCTGATTAAGATCAGCACCTTTGCCATTGCCACCAGCCACTAGAGTTCCATTCTTGTCTCCTATTTGATATCGTTTTACTTCATCTTTGCCGGGGTCAGAGATGTAGAGATATCTCTGATCATCCATAGCCAATCCCCAACATCCGATGTTGTCAATGAGGATTTCTCCTTGATTTATACCACTACGACGAGACCATCGTACGACTCGTCGATTCCCCCAATCACAAATAATGAGACTATCTGTCTCTTTGTCGATCAACACATCGGTTGGATAATTCAATTGATCCAATCGATTTCCTTTGCCATTGCCACCAGCTACAACTTGTCCATTCTTATCACCCATCTTCCATTGGATGATACGATGATTGTAGCAGTCAGCGATGACTATCGTTTGATCATCATCAACGAAGAGACCATGAGGCAAGTAGAGTTGATTGGTGATATTGCCTTCTCCACGACCTCCAGCAACAGTCACTCCATTCTGTTTCCATCGGGCATCGACCGGAATATTAGGAATTACTACAATGAACAAAAAAGAAAAGAAGTCGTCGTTATCGAAGGGATTCCGTCTCTCGTGAGAGCAAGCGCTACAAAATATGACATTAGTCTTTGAGAATGCTCATTCCACAGATAAAAATTCAGAAGTATTTTCCTAGTTTCTTATGAGAAAAAAAGGATTTGGTAACGATTCTTACATCTATGTTACTTCCAGTCCTTGCCAAGATCTTTTTGATCATAAAAATAACACCTGGAGATTGCTGTAAGAAGGTTCTCAAAGAAAGAGCAATACTAATTCTATGTAAGTTTTTGATAGAAAAACATAAGGATCTGAGAATTTTATTCAGAATTGCAAGAATTCAGAACCTTTTTGGCAGAATGATCATTTATATGAACATCAGAGAAGATTCTATCTGTATCTTGTGAGAAGAATATAGAATCTTTGAACAACAAAATATCAAACCTAATCTCTATGTTTTTTAAGGAAATCTTAAGGATACATGATTTTCTGTATGATGAATGTAGATTTGCCGAAGAATCTCCTAAGTATTTGCATAGAGAATGTCGGTGAAACTTTATAAGGCTTTTGATAAGTTATGTCAAGCTGTTCGAAGAACAACTGTGATGTACTCGGAGTAGGATCATGAGAAGGCTTGGATACAGGCGAAACTGAACAAAGTTGAGAGGATTCCACGCGAATCTATGTAATCTGAGGGGGCTTCTACTTTTGAAAATGCTGAAAAGATGGATGTCAATCTGAACGGAGCTCTTCAGTGACAAACATTGGGATCCATGGATTTAATGGGCTTTGAAAAAAAAGTGTTTTAAAATGCAATTTTTAACTTTTGATGAACACCATCTTCAAACCATTGTATAAGGGTCCTCGAAGAGAATCTTGATGACTAAATAAGATACTTTGCCAAAATCTGAAAATCTAAAAATAATGAGTATCTTCTATGAGGATCATGCTATAGCCCTTAGGTAATGCTTGTTCTGGGAAGCCTTCTTTGAGGTTGCATGTGATGGATATGTTCAGGAAGATCTGAAGAGTAAGTATTTTGAAATGGTTGATATCAGAGATGGGCAATTCCAACTCCAAAGTTGATGCTTTTTCTCATCAGAGTGAAAATGGAGTAGGAACAGGACAGAATGGAAGTGCCTATCTTTAAATTTTATTAGAAAGTTTATAAAGCAATAAATTAATATGCTACTAATTTATATCAATCGTAGATTTAATTATGTTCAATAACTTATGTGTATTTAAGAGTGTTTTGGCAGAAGTTCAGTTTTGTAAAATTCGACTCGAAATGAAGTTAAATTGAAGTTGGAGTAGGATTTTAGAAAAAAGGAGCAGAGTGGTATGGGGTTCGAGCGGAACACACTGCAGTTAAAATTGATGTGGAGTTTTAGAAAAGAGTGGGATGTGAATGAGTGTTGGTATCCTCTTCACCCTCACCTACACTCACATTCACACCAATACCCTCTAAGGAGATTTCTATGTTCTAGTGAAACTTATTTTGAGTCTGTAGCTCATTGTCTTGTGATATAGAATGTTCAAAAAAAAGTAAACTTGTATTATAATAAGGAGGGCTTTTGTGATTTTTTTTCTTAAATATTGAAAATTTATATGAAATTTTTTTTCGTACATATTTTGAAATCTAATTATTCTGATTTGTTTAATTTTATCAATTTACAATAAAATTACATTACATTTCATTTAAATTAAAATGAAAGTAAAAAAAATGGAATTATTTTATTTATTTTTAAATCGAATAAAAACAAATCTATTCAAATAATTTCAATTTCATTTAGAACAAATAAAGATCTCCACTTTTTGTAGTTATTATAGTTTTCAAAAAATTAAAATTAAAATGAAATAATTCTTACTTTTATTTCGTTTTCGAAAGAAATTTACGAAAAAATATTTCCTATTTATTCTTTAATTAAAGTTTAACTGAAACGAAATGAATTTGACAGAGATGGATATTTGAAATTAAAAAAATTCATTATTTAGGAAAATCCTTTAAATTTATTATTTTTACGTGTTTTTTTTTAATGTTGTTTTTTCATTTTTTTCTTGAATAAATTTCGTCTTAAGGAGAAAAAAAAGACAATAAAAAAACCAGCAAAAAACATTTTTTTCAAAAGTATAAGGAAAAAAAGGTTAATGATGTGTGGTCTGGTGCAATGGATTGGTTTAGTGGTCGTCATTTGTTTTTGAGCCACATTCAGTAAATACACACCAACTAGGGAAGAAGAATTCAATTTATCCTAATTTCAAAACCACTAATTAATAAAAGTATCAAAGGATGTTGGGTGTAATGGTTAAAAACTATATAGATATTTCTAAATTCACATGGATAGTTAAAATCTTGATCTTTAACAATGTTTTGAATTTTTTAATCGTATAAATAGTAATTTTTTTTTTTTTAATTATGCTGAATTTTATTCGTGACATCCATAATTTTTTTTTGGAAGATTTTTTACAATTTTTGCGGACGCTTACGAATGTATGCAACGGACAGGATAATGATAACAAACAGAGAAAGAATACAAAGAAAATGAAAACGAACAGAATGAAACTCGAATTCGAGCCAATGATGACGATGTAACGTGCATCGTTGCTTTTTCTTTTGTTTATTCTTCCGATACCATATATCTTGACACCGAATGCACGACGCCGGGGGAAGGGATCGAACCTTCTGATCTCTGACTATAGTCAGATGCATAGAACCACTACGCCATCCCCGGCATAAATAGTAATTGAGTCTATGCTAATGAGCTCTCTTTTTATTTTAACTTATTAAGATAATGTGTATGATTAAAAACATTTTTTTGTTAGATCTAAAGCGCACAATATTCACTTTGTCGTCTGTTATCCTTTCACGACAATTTATTTTTGAGTTCAAAAAGATTAGTTTATATTTATTTCGAAAACTACCGATATTTCTTTTATCTTATTTCATAAGACTTTCTGTAAGATACTTATCAATCTTGTGTATAGCTCATTTATGCATAAATGATACATTAATTATTCTACTATTGGTACAATTCAAATAGGAAAAACTTGATAAAACATCAAATTTAAAGGAATCGCTAGTTATTTTCTTACAAATTAACTAAGAGAACATCAAATAATATCATGCATTGCGAATAGTATCAGTATAAATAAAAGAAATATCTTAATTATATCTTTCTTTGACTATTTTCTTTTCATTAACGAAACGAAGAGCTCAACATCTTTGTCAATCGTATTGCTGCAGTTTTCTGAGTTGCTCAAAATAATGGAAGAGATAAAGAATGGTACTACAATAAAGTTGACGATAATAATAGAATTGAATTTTCTTCATTTGATTCACTACATCCTAAGATCATTGCACTCGTTGGTAAAAACACTATGTCCTTATTGGTTTATCTCGATTTCAAATGAGCTATTAATAGAAATTGAATTTTCTAAATTAATTTTGACTCATATCAAATTTCAAAACAAGAAATAGAGAATATTTGAATATTCTGTAAAAGAAAAATTATTTTTATAGAGATGTACGCTACATATGTATAAAAACAAGAACAAGATTATGCAAACATTGCTATTATCACTCTTATTCCAACTATAGTTTGTTTTTAAATAAATACCGACACGATATATTTTATGAAAATAAACGAATAAATGTTTGATTAACTGCTATAACCATTAGTAATCATTGTTTAACATATGTTGCTCTTTGCTTAACCTCTGCTAAGATGAACTGTTTATAGGCAAAAAAAATATTCACTCACTAACAGGTTGGGCATGATAAATTGGATAAGATGTTAATGCATTTTTTTTCTATTTCTGGGACAAATAGAAAATTTCTTTATCTATGAATAGATAGAGAATTTCAAGCTCTACAAAATTATTGATTCTATTTTTCAAAGAAAGTTTTTGTTGTTGACGCAAAATTATTAATTTGTGCAAGCTTTTGTTCATGAAGGGCAATGATTAAAGTATAAATTATTGAACATAAATAGGAACTAATACCTGTCAATATTTTTCAGTGCACCTTGGAAAAACCATATCTTCAAAAGTCAGACACGCTCTATAAAATATTTATTATTTTGCCATCAGATTTAAAATTAAATTCTGAACAAAATGGTATAAGTTTTAAATTAAACGATGCGTGGTTTACAAAAAAAAGGACTTTTTTTAGTAATTTTCCATTTTTTTTCTCTAAAAACTGTTTCTGTCAAATATTCCTTTTAAAAATCTAAAACATCCATCCAAATATGCAGAATTTTACAGAGAATTTCGTGGAGTAGTTGAAACTTTACTGAAATTTTTATTTAAAACATTTTGCTCATTCTTTCGGGATTTTTGACAGTCGCAGTTGGACGATTAAGTAGGGACTTATCTTTGAAATTTTGCGCGGGTGTGGGTGTGGGTATCGGAGAAGACATCTTCACCCACGCCCACACTCTCGAGAGAATATAGCAAGCTTTCATGATATATTATGAAAAAAAACCCAAGCTTCTCTGACATATAGATGGTCAAAATTCATTTTCTAACAAATAAAAAGCTAAGCATTTAATTTTACATAGGTCGGAATTAATCAATGTTAAAATATCGGGTTACTGTATTTGTAAAAAGTTCCAGAAAAGACTAAAATATGTTCCATAATTCTAAGAATTGCAGCAGAAAATTTCACTGAGATAGAATGTACTAGTAGTTCCAGACAAACAAAGATGATTGAGAAGCTAATAAAATCAAATGCAATCTGAATTTTAGAGATCATATTTCATCAGAATGAGATGATTGAATTCGAATTTATAGATTAATTCGACCAATAAAAATGTTATTTATCTAGC